CTCTCTCTCTCTCTCTCTCTCTCTCTCTCTCTCTCTCTCTCTCTCTGGAGGAGTCCCCTGTGCGGTGAGCAGGTTAAAAGACATACTGATTGATTTACTCATTGAAGGCTTGGCACGGCTCGGACCTCCATTCTGATGGATGTGTGTGTGAGATAGAGAGAACGAGAGAGAGAGAGAGAGAAAGAGAAACCAGGCGAGGGAGAGAGAATCACATGGAGGCAAAGGACAGGGGTGTGGGGTATATTAGAGTGACCCTCCGACAGCGCCCGCTCCCTCACCCTCCGACAGCGCCCGCTCCCTCGGCACTGACCCTCCGACAGCGCCCGCTCCCCTCGGCGCCATCTGTGTGCTGGTGAGAGTTGAAAAGGCTGGTTGTTGTCGCTGGTGCGGGCTGACCTCCATCCACCGGTGGGCGCTCTGAGGGGAGTCTCGGTCAGTTGACGGGAATGGGCCTCAACGCGACCTTTCGTTTCTCCTTCAGGGATGGTCGCCTGCCCCGAGACGGATTGAAAGTGGACGCAGACCGAAGGAAAAGGGAGAGAGAGAGAGAGAGAGAGAGAAAGAGATATGAGTCTCCACATGGCCATTGGCGTCAGGCCCAAAATGGCCGCCTGCCTACTCCTGGGCCTGGCGCTTTGGGGGGCGCCCGGTCCCTGGGTACGCGCTCACCGCCGGGAGTTCTGGAGCTTCTCGCCTTCCGACACGACCCTGGCCCACCTCGCCGTCCACCGGGAGACGGGAGCCGTCTACCTGGGGGCCGTCAACTTCATTTACAAGATGGCCGCCAACCTGACCGAGCTGAGGCGCCACGTGACCGGGCCAGTGGATGACAACACCAGCTGCTACCCACCCCCCAGCGTCCGGGCCTGCTCCCAGGGCCTGTCGCCGGCCCCCAACGTCAACAAGCTGCTGCTGCTCGACTACCAGGGGCGCCGCCTCCTGGCCTGCGGCAGCGTCTGGCAGGGTGTGTGCCAACTGCTGCGCCTCTCGGACCTCTTCAAGCTGGCCGAGCCGCACCACCGCAAGGAGCACTACCTGTCCGGCGTGCCGGAGGCCGGGGCCACCGCCGGGGTGGCCGTGCCTAGGCCCGAGGGCGCCAGCCACCTCTTCATCGGGACGTCCATCGACGGGAAGTCCGAATACTTCCCAACCCTGTCCAGCCGGGTCCTGACCTCCGACCCCGAGGACTCCCGCATGTTCGGCCTAGTCTACCAGGACGAGTTTGTGTCCTCGCAGTTGAAAATCCCCTCGGACACTCTCTCCCGCTTCCCGGCCTTCGACATCTACTACGTCCACGCCTTCGCCAGCGAGAGGTTCGTCTACTTTGTGACCCTCCAGCTGGACACGGAGCTGAGCGCGCCCGAGGCGGCCGGGGGCGAGCGCTTCTACACCTCGAAGATCGTCCGCCTCTGCGCCGACGACGCCAAGTTCTACTCCTACGTGGAGTTCCCCCTGGCCTGCTCCCGGGAGGGCC